GGAAAAAAAGAAAAAAAAGTAAAGAAAAACAGAGCGAAAACAAAAAAATGGAAAAGAAAAGAGAAAGGCGTGACACGAGAGGAAAGGCGAAGAGGACTTTCGTTGAGGAATGTACGCATACTCTATACATTACAAGTTGTTCGTATTCATTATTATTGTTATTATTATTATCGCTACGATTATTATAATTATTACTATTATTGCTACAGATATGTGTATATATGTATACATGTATAGCAGTGTGTATATACATATAGACACGTATTAGGCGTGTTTTGCCAGCCGCGGTGTTCCTTTATTCGTGGCTCAACTTTTTTCTCTCTTTCCACCCGACTCGTTTGCTGTGCCAGCCAGCCGACGATCGTGCTTTTCTCGTCACAAAAGGAAAATCTGCAAGTTGATCAACAAACCGATCGAAATACGGAGGAAATAAAAATGCGATTGAAAATGGCTATCGTGGTAGATTGACGCGTTCGATCGTCCATCATTTACCTTTGTTGCCTCCCTTGGCAATCCAAGATTTTTTTCTTTTGAAATAACGCAAAATGTTAGAATCAATTCTTCAATTGTTCCATTTTTCACTCAAAGTCCAAGTGATCATCGGAATATTCGATGTCTCGCTATGGTGTTCCATTTATTTCAGACGTCAATCCATAAAAGTATATATTTCTCCAAGGGATACCATTGCGCAATGCATATATCTTTAAAAAAGTTTCTTTGTAATCACTTTTCAAGTTCCTCAAGTTACTTTCACCGTTTTGATTATTATTATTATTTCCCTTGCTGATTGAAAAATATTCAACGCTTTGCGATTCTTCCTACGTACGAATTGAACGGTGAAAAATTTATAAAAATGTTTTGTTGTGTCGCTTGATTTCGCATTTAATTTCGTTGGCAATTTCATTGTTTGAAGAATTTATTTTTCAAATATATAAAAAAAAAAAGATGTATATTTTAGTTGAGGAAAATTAAATCAGAGTTAATTAGTTTAGGTATTAGTCCCAGAAAATGAAGAACATCGAGTTATCAGGATAATCGCGATCGAACCGTATGCAACGAGAAAAAGAAAAAGAGGGGGAAAAAGAGAGACGAGAGGATGCACGATCCGCGAACAATGGATCGGATATGCGGGTCAACGATGCCAGTCAGCGTTGTGCCCAGTTTTTCCTGTACTTAACTTTGACCGAGAGAGTCCTCACGGCACGGCGTAGATGGAAAAGTCGGGCGGTGGGTTATCGATCATTAAGAACCAGATATATATGCATTATTCCGTACCAAGTACGGCTAGAGCTATCGAGTAATTTAATATAGAATTAAAACAGTCAACTGCGATTAACGGAGCACGAACGAAGAAAGGCCTGCATCGACCATCTTTCCTCTACACTTTTAACCCGATTTCCCGTTCCTTCCGAAAAAAAGTTCCCAGTTCCCGTTATTCTAATATTCCTGCCTCCCTCTAACCCTCAACAAAAACAAGACAACATATTGTAATCTATTGTAGATTGTTGTAGATAAATTATACGGTTTGACCGTACATTGTTACTTTTTGTCGACAATATAAAATACACAGATATATAAGTAATTAACGCCTTGTCCCAGTTATTTCATTATTCGTTTGATATGTTTTACTACGACGAAGCGATGGGAAAGAAAGAGAACTCAGTTTTAACATTCCTTAAATTATTTTTAATCGTTGTCTGGTGAAACGTAAAAAAATTATACATGAAGAGAGAAAGAACATTAAATAAGCGTAGTTCGGATACTGCATTTCAATGTACAGAAAATTATTTACAATCTTTGTCAATTTAATTAGTGAGTGATAGAAGGCATACTAGGTGAACCTACAACGTCTATTATGTCCGCTTTAACTTCAGGCTCGGTCTTCGGTAACAGGGCAGGTGGTATCGTTAATGTCTGAAAATTTAATATTGATATTATTTTTTGGAAAACTTGAAACTCGTTGTTCAAACAATATACCTTCCCGGGTGCTAAAGCTTCGTATTGGTGCCTCAATGATTGCAATTCATAATCGCACGTCGATAACGCGCTTCGAAGTTCATAGTGTAAAACGATATCGCTCCTTAATTCGTTAAATTGTTGGCATATTTGTTCTGTGGGCGGTGGATTTAATTCTAAAAGATGATATTATTAACGTCAAATCTAAGGAAAATGAAATACGAAATAAATTGGATTTGAAAATACCTATGCGAAGTTCATTGAGCATTTGTTCAATACCCTTCATTTTCTTTTGACCTAAGCTACTTGGCAATTTTATTCGTTGAGAACGAAGAGAAACACCGCTATTTTTAAAATCGGGAAACTTAATTCCAGCTGATTCCACTGTCTGAAAATTCACATTCTCGTTAATACTGACACAGCTAATATTATTGACTGAATAATATTTACATGAGAAGTGTCAGCTTTGTTTGGCCTGTTTCGAGCAGAAGCTCCACTTTTCTTTGCAGGTTTCCTTTCATTCTTTCTTGGATCAGCTTGGTGATCAGCAGCTGTTATTAATTTCTGCAAATCTTGAGTCTTTCTATCTCTCTCTTTCTTTCTTTGTTCGATCTTTCTTAGTTCTGCCAATAGCATCTGTTCCTCTTCCACTTGTTCTGGTGTTCTTTCAAACAACTTCTTTAATTGTTCCTTTCTGCGTTTTTCATGTTCAGCATCAAATATATAAACTTTGTCGGTGTGAGATTTTGCCTTTGTTAAAGCTGCACACACTTGATAATACCTAAATGATAATAACATAATACAATAACCATAAAGATACTAATAGAAATTGTGAACTATATGCTTACTTACCTTTCTTTTAAGTCTTCTACAGATCTTGCGGGAAACTTTGTACAATCCCACCTATCTTTAATTATGATAAATCTTAGATCAAATCTCCTACACAAATCAAACAAATGATCGGTTTCTGCTCTAGTCCAACCATTTGTAACTAAGTGTTGAACATATTCTGCATTGGTATATGTTGGGATAGGAACCTTTTTATTGAACTTAGCAAAAGGATATTCCTTTCCGGCATCTGCAACTCGTCTCCAATGATGAAAAACAGCACCATCTGTCCTAGCAGGATTAGTAAACGGTGTCCACTTCCATGGTCTGACCTTTCTCATACCAAGCTTTGCTCTAACTTGTTTATATCCTTTTGCGGTATCCGTTGGAAATAACGGAGGTACATCGTTATTGTCTTTACAGAGCAATGCGAAGACCTCACGATGCATGCCCTCTGGTCTCTTTGGCACTTTGTATTCATATTTTTTACGGTTTTTCTTGTCGCTGCCAATAATTGATTCTTTCGTCAACTCACTCGTGGTCGGTACCTCGATGTCCAATATATCCCGAACATCTGCCATGCTGTCGAGTTTCGACAAACTTTTGTCCTTCCTGTGTTTAGACATTTTAGATTAAGGTTATGTTATAATCTAAAGTATTCGACAAATGTATTACTACAGTAAATGAATAAAATAAGAAATTGATAAAATATGTTTACAAAGTGAAGTAGCTCTTTACTTATATAAATAGTTGTTTTATTGTATGCATACATTGTTAAATATTTTGCCTTTTTGTCATTCGCGAACCAAACACAACCACAACTGTCGTACGACTACCTCGAACTGCACACTATATAGCTAGTAACAGTAGCAACTAATTTCGTACAGAGTTTGTGAACGATTTTATTAGAGGGATGTCAGGTAAAAAGCTTCTCTCGTCAAAATGTACATTCTGAATTACATTCTCGTCAAAATGTACATACTGATATATTAGAAGATTGTACATTTAATTTTTCTTACGTTTATAAAAGAATTGTATTTCTAACGTTTTATTTGTACATGTAATTCAATTCTTTCAAAAATGATGGGTAAAATTTTCATTTGGTTTTCAAATAGTAATTGAACGAGTAATTAATGAAACTCAAGTTAAATTTATAAACTTTATTCTTTCTATTATATACAATATATTTATTATTAAGTGTATTTAAATGTATAATGATCCATCCGCTGGACCTAAGTATCTCATAGAAATAAGCATTACATCAATTAATGTCCATACTCCAAGTCCTCCAAAACTGAACAATTTACCAATTCCTTCTTGCCAATGACCTAAATAAAATCTGCAATACATATTAAAAATATGAAGTATTTTTAATCAACATTTAATGGGTTGAACATGACGTACCGGTCAGCGCCAAAACCACCTAACGTAATGCTCAAGATTAAAGCAGTAGACCAACGGTATCCTACAGTCCAATTGCATAATAAATTTTTCATAAATCTACGTCTTCCTAGGCATAATATATCACCATTTACTGTACAATTTGTCCTATAATATTGTCGTGGAGAAGCTACAGAGCTACAAGAATTTTTTTGATGACACTCGTGCTCCCAGTGCTCAGTTTGATAGCAGTAACGACATATATACTTTTTTTGAAAGAATTGTTCACCCTTGAAGTTTAATATATCAATCTATATAAATATATGTCGTGTAAGATAGTAAAATATACGATCGTGTTACTTACAACACAATCAATATTCTCTAAAACAGAACAATTAGCAACGTATACAGCTCCATATACACAATTCAGATTTAAATTACATTTCAAACAATCTCCACTTAATTCTGAACAAGCGACACCACTTGGACATAGTCTTGAAATTTCTTCCTGTTAACATTGTAACAACAATGTTTCAGCAATTTCTTCTTTTTTGTTATTAGAGCAATGTAAATTTTATCTTACCTTCGTGCTACTATATGCTGGTGTCGAGTTTACGTTTGCTTCTTTTTGTGCATATTTGATTGCACTTTCTGTAATTAAATTTATATTAATATTATTTACAAGTTTGTTCAAGAATAATTTGTACAAAATACTTAAATTTAAATTATAAATTTACCATAACCCATATGAGCCTGTTTGATAGTTGTCGAGAAAATTGCCAATAGAATAAAAATCACATTTTTCGAATTAATTCGAACAATATTCATTATGAATATTATTTAATTAATCGAACCGATAGCCCACACATAGAAGACTCGATGATATTTCAGTTATTTACATTTGAAAAATCATAATTCCGTTCTGTCCATTCTGTCAGCTCGTTTGAAATCCAAACAAAATTTCATTCGTCCCTAATTAAAAACTGATCTTGTAAACTAACACTAAATTAAAAAATAATTGAATTTCCTCCCGATCAAAACAAAGCAACGTGATTCTAGGGACTAACGATCTTGGATTTTTTTTACATTCGTTCTTTTGACGTTATCTAAATTCCTAGATAATGTTCCACAAGTTATATCTTACAATTAGATGGAAAAAAAGTGTCACTTTGCAAAGAATTTTTTTTTTAAGATTAAGATTATCAATGTTAGCATTATTTTATTGGGACATTTAAATACTTATACATAAATTGCATAAATCATCTTCTATTATTAGAAATATTTCGATTTACTATCAATAGACTATACAAATAGATATATAAGTCTACGATTGGCTGATACTTTCCTCAAACTGTAAGAGTAGATTATTTGTTATTAGGATGATTCCTGATTTAAAAGAGAATCTATATAGTATTTCCTTTCAGGGAAATGATAGACATATCGTAGCATGCAAACGCATAAGATAATATTTTGTAAATATTGAAATTTTAATTATTTTACTAATGTAAAGACAAGACGGGAGAATTTTCTTTCAATGAATTTGTGTTCGTAGGAATAAAACCGATGTGAAATTACTATCTAATGCTGTAAATGATTAAATAAGTTTCTCGCAAGAGAAATGTGCAGCAAATAACAAACTTGTGTGTTAGTTACGTTTGTTTCTACTAATCAGCTGACTTCCGGAACTAATACGAGAGAAAATGTTAGTGAGGCCTTTCATTCTTTTCACTTGACAGAATAGCATACCTATAAGCAAACAAGTTTTTTTATTTAATTTTTAATTTCGTGAATCAAAGACTGATACAGTTAGCGCATTGCAATTTGAACTTGCTTCAAAAGAAAGTAAATGATAAACTTTGTATAATTGTGAGATACTGTTAGATAATAATCCGAAGGTAAATAGCATTCGCGAACACATTTTTATGACGTACAGTATTATAAGTCAGCTGTAATAACTCATCATTTGACACAATTTTACAACTGTACATTAATAAATAAAAAGAATTATCTACAGTTAATTATATTCTGATACGATATATTTATAATTTAAAGTAGACAAACATAGTCATTTTAGTTCATTTTTTAATAGATAACTTGCTGCTACCATCTTAAAAATAATATGAGTTCTGAAGAAGGTGCGAGTACCAGTCAGAACAAAAATGAAACAAGATTAGATGAAAATTTTAAACAAAATGGTACTCAATCGATTGAACAGTCGACTAAATCGTCTAAAGTTATACAACTTGAAAGCAAATTAAATGGAGATCAAATGAAATTAAATAACAAGCTGGGAGACAACAGTGCCAAGAATCATTTGTCTTCAAAAGCTTCAGTTGCATTTGCGAATGGTACAAGATCTATGCAGACTAATACATGTAATTTCACTAATAGTACGGACCAAGATATAAATCAAGACATATTGGATGCAAGTGTATCTCCTATGTTTTTGAATACTAACAATATCAAGTCTCAAACTTTGAATACTACCGTTACAAGTCAATTGAAGCATAAGACTATAGTGAGCACGAGTGGTTTGAACTTACCTAAGCCTCCGATGAACTTGAATTTATCTTCCAGTCAAAATAATACGCATACGAATCATTGTATATCAGGTTCTTATAGTACTGGCACTATATCAAATGCTACTTTGTATTTAAATAATTCGGTTCCATCTACTTCAGTTTCATCTATAATACAGTCAAATTTGTCAATAGCTAAACCAAGTGAGGATATTGATATGAAAAATAATGTAGATTATGTTTCTGGAATTGAAAAATGTCCATCAAAAGTGTCATGCAGTTCGGATTCTAGTCCTGAAGTGGATAGTGTCTGGGCATCAAAATCCTATGGATCTAATAGCTTATTAAATAATATAGGAGGTAGTATAGGTTCAACAAGTCAAGGAACATGTTGTTTTTTAAGACCTAATATTAATGGGAATAAAGAGGTAGCAGGACCAAGTGGATTACAAAAAGTGAGTTTTATTACTATATATATGAAATATTTATTAATTACAATATAATTAATATTTTAATACAATATAATTTGTATGTTTGTTAACTAGAATACACAAATAGAACAAAATGAGAGGCGAGATTCAAGTTCTGGAAATGAAGGTGATATGTCAGATGGAGAAGATTATTGTATTTATACATATAAAGGAAATGATGACGCAGTACATTTAATTCAAAAGGAAGAAATAAATCAAGGACAAGTGGAAGAACGTGAGGAAGAGCAATGTCGCAGTGGTAGATCAAGTCCAGAAATGGACTTTTTGGAAATGGATTTTGATCCTGGGCCTTCTTGTGAGCAGGTATTGAATTATGATGATGAAATTGCAACTCACTTGTTACATTAATTTTTGATATAGGATACAGGAGACAGTGATTTGGCCTCTATAAATGAAGATATACAGAATATAGCGTTAGATAATGTAGATCCAGATCCAGTATTAAATGACTTAAGTAGCGGTAAAGTTGTGGCTAAACAAGGAATTGCATCTACATCTCAAAACCCAAAGCAAAGTGTACAAAATGTGAATAATACAGAGCCTCAGCAATGTTCCAGCAGTAATCCTTCTGTTCCTGAACCAAGTATAAAACCAAATTATCCATCACCATGGATGCCAAGTACTAGCAGTGCAGCAGGTACGTTATTGTATTATTTTAATGTATTATGATACACTGTTTGTTCAAATCGTTATACCAAATTATTGATTTGTAGGAAAATGGGATACTAACAAAATATATCGCAATACGAGGTGTCCTTTGAGGGAATCATATGGATATCACAGTACAAGTGGAGATCTTATTTCACCAGGTGATAATAGAGATTCAGATGCGGAATTGTGGGTTGAATCTTCATCAGCTTCTGTTCCGGAAAATTCAAATTTAAACTCTCGGAGAGTGAATCTCAGTTCAACTCTTTATCATCGTATGATGGCAAAGAAATTGATGCTCAATAAGCAAGCTGCATTTAATCAGAGTGGTGACTCAAATCTAGTTAATACAGCTTATTATATTATTCTGTATTAAGTGTATTTATGATCATTTACATAAGTGTAATTTATATCTATACAGGAAAACGAATTATCAAATGAACGATTAGATGGCCTTTTACCAGTTGAAAAAATTATGTTATGGAGCGAACAAGAAGCCACAGTGAAACAAGTAACTCAAATAGGAACTTCTGCGTGTGGTGCTACTGCTGCGATAAATGCTTTGGTATTATTTGATATTAAATATTTATACCATCTCAATATATTTTGATTAATTTTTAAGCGTTTAAATTAATTAAATAATGATTTTTATAGTTGGCTTTAAATGTACCATTTTCATTAGAAACATTAATAAAAAGTGTGAACACTAGGCAAAGAGAGCCGGGTACACCATTACCGCGATATTTATACAGTCGATCAGTGGCTGGATCGACGCACAGAGATTTGGCTCGTGGTATAGCTTTATGTACAAATGGATCAGTTATAACAAAATTTTTTACGTTTTATCCTGAAAGAAAAGTTTCATTGTCTCATTGGTTACATTATTGGATATCAAAAGGTATGTAACTACATAATAAAATATGCATGAGAACAATAGAGACATCCCAGTGTATTTCAGGTGCTGCGCCCATAGCAACGCTAAATTTGCAACATTGCGGAGAAGGATGTGATATTCCGGATGCGTGGCACCATCAAATGATATTTGGTGTAGGACAAGCAGGGATTTATTTAACTAATCCATTGGAATGTTTGCCTGAACAGGTTGGTTATGAGTGATATATGTTAATCATTTAAAAAAAATATATATATATATATATAAATTTTAATTACTTGTAGTACGTTTGGCATCAACTTGTAAGTCCTAGTATTTTACTAGTACGAAGATCGGATGTTTTAGCGCATTGGAATCCGAATACCGATTTAACGCCGTTGGCTGCTATGGATCAAAAGTGGCGAAAACTTAACGTTTTTGGTATGTTTCATGTTTATATTAATTGAAAATCAATATTATAAAAACAAACAGCATTATTCTTTATTCTTATTTATTACTAGGTCAAGTTGTAAATATGGTACGCGAAGCAATGACTCAGAAACGCCAACTTAATAATCTGACTACTGGTGTAACTCACATTCGTATACCTGCATCTTATCAAGCAGGTATTACATTAGTTATGTGTGCAAACTCTGCAGCTGCTTCTGAATTGTTATATACTGAACAATTACCATTACTCTAGTCTTGTTGATCAAAATTAATAAATCCAGGCTGCCCGTTTTTATTTGTAATAAATTTAATTAGCAGGCTGGTCCGCACAATGTTGTTTACAATAGCTTGTTTATTGAATAAGACAGTTGGGGTCATACTCGAAACGATTTACATTTTTAACGCAAAAGATGTTTGTATTCAAAGAGAATATTATCGATTAAAATATATTTCAATAGAATATTTCCGTTTTATATGCAGTTATATTTATAAATTCATACATTAAAAAAAATGTCAACAACGTTAAAGAAGTTTTGTGGCGAAATATCTTTTTACACATAATATCAAGTACATTTTTTAAATATTAGATATAATAAAGGTAAGTATTACTTTTAATTTAAAGATTTAATACTTTTTATTTTTGAGTTTTTTTTTTCTTTTTTTAGATTACATATTATTATTCAATAAAAAAATGGTTCATAATAGAATTTAATAATAGATTTCGGATACATTTTTTTTATAATTCTAAATTACTTTGTGTCGAAATTGTACAGAATATGTATTTAATGTAGCAATAGTGTTGAAAGCACAGTATTTGTGCAGTAAATATCAAATTTATGTACACATAAAGTGTCTACTGTTAAACGTTATTTTTATATTCTTCCAGACAATTCTGCTTTATTTAAGACATACTGAAATAAGAAAAAAACATTAGTTAATATTATCATATCTAAGTAATATTCAGATTTAATGTACATTACCTTTCTATAAGCGATGCACGCATAGTTGATGCGATAGCACCTGGAGAAGCGTCGTTAAGTTTAAAAACACTTTCAATAACTGAAAGTTCTGTCGAAGTTGTATCCATACCACAAAAACCAACCCAATCGTTTACAACCATCCCTGCAGCTATAACGTCACTGCCTCTATTTACTGTACCTGCCTATAATGATATTTCTTTGTCTTTATATTCTACTTCTTCATCTTTTACGTTTTCTAATTTAATCTAATCTTTAACATATATGAAATCATCTTACAGCAAGTGGTACTTGTAACAGAGATGACAATTCATCTTGATCCTGTATGGATGTTTTTGGATGTACTAAACCACCTTGATTTGATAATACAGAATAAGAGCCTACTAAAACGTTACTAGCCACAGTTTGCCTAAATACTTCTACGTTTAATGTATCAGCTAAAATTTCTTCCGTTTCCTATGAATTATCATAACATCAATAATAAGTATCACTGAAGAACAGAAGTTAACATTATATTTTACTATGATACTTGCTCTATCAAGATCTGGATGTACTAATGCAACATAATCGTTACAGGAAATAACGTTACCCAGAGCAGATAGTCTTTCCTCGATTCTTTGTACTTTAACCTTATCTGGTAGAGAATTTCGTACATGCTGCAGTTCTATGTCTGTTGTCGTGTTTGGGACTAACAGTCCGTTTTTGTTACCTGTTTTGATTTATTTTCATACTTGAAGCGTTTATCTAAGCACAGTTGATTTCATACTTCGAGAGTTACAAGTCTTACCAACGCATAATCGGCCAATTATACGGCATCCTCCAAGGGACGCGTGAACTACAGGTATGGTTTCAGATAATTCCGCCTCAAATACGCTGTAATAACCAATAATATTTATTTTATAAATTGTATGTTACAAAATGTATGTATGTTACAAGAAAATATTAAGTTGCTTGAAAAAAACAATTGCATGGTATTACACAACGAGCGGAGATAAAGTAACAATGATGCTTATCTTTACCTGTAAAAATTCTCGGAACCACCGATCGCTACCAAGCAATAGGAATTTGTTAATTTGGAAAATACACCTACTTCGTTGTTATTCTCGAACTGTACACGTACCGCCATGATTAGAAATTTTCATTAACGTGTTACGATTTGAACAAAAATTTTGAAACTATCGAAGTTTATATCGATAAGATTAAACACGTTAAACTGTATCTCACACGGTTTGCTCTCACACGCTACACGAGGTTTACGTTATACGTGGCTTTATGAATCACGAGATATTAATTAAATAACCTAGAAAGGGATGATGCGTGATAACCGATAAGCAGCCCTCTTGCGATTAAATGTAGCAACTGGCTATTCTTAAAAATGATCACGAAGTGTCCATTCTACGTAGTAACTTGTTGTTGACCTATCGTAACGTGTAACGATTTGAAATGTGTCTTATGAAAATATCTAATAATTGTACTATTTGGCGTGAAAGATAAAACGAAGCAATTACTCCGCTAAAAATATATTTAATTACGAGATTTATCAAATAGAGCGCATGTTTTCTAGAGCAACTTAACTATCATTACAGCAGGTGAATATTACTTACGTTTTCTTAATGGCAAAAGTACAAGTATAGAAACAACATCACTAATACAATACATCAGAACGAATTTGTGAAACAAAGTGTAGAACAAAAGTGAAATAGCTCACGCCTTAAACTCGTACATGGAATCAGGTATCATATTATTCGGTGCTTACAATTAACGAAGACAACATGATGTTTGCACAATTCCTTTATTGAAAGTCTTTTAATAATATCGGCAGTAGTTATGCAAATAATAAAATGAGAAACGAATCTTCAAATGAATCGTTTTCGTTGCGTGACTTTTCGAACGTTCGATAATTTGTGTAAGTTAAAACTCGTCGTTCGTACAACATTAACAAAACTGCTGTAACTGTTGAAAATCACCGCTTTATTAACAACATTGTTGCAAGCATTATAATATAAATATCCTTCGGCATAGCTTTTATTTTGATTTTTGATACCGGTGTTGTAGAGATCGTCTTTGTTGAAACTTTATTGGCAGTATATTATTCCCGCGAAAATGACTCGTGGAACATATTGGCAGTATTATTTCCGCGAAAATGAATTCTTCACTATGAAATCTATCGGTTAACGTTAAAAGTCACGATATTGTCGGGGTCTTGCGTAGTCTTAGAATTATCAATGCCGACAATACCGACCGAATGGTGCTCATTCAATGTTCTCGTTCGTTCGAGCGATAATCTCCGTCGGATCAGTACAGGAGAGGGAAATTTGAATCTCGGAAAGAGATTCTCGTTGACTGAGAACATCGATCGACGATGCGAAACATTTCACTTTGCGTGGAGTACTTTTTTCTGGTGAATACGAACGAAATAGGAAGAGGGAAAAGGGGAGAGAGGGAGAGAGAGAGAGAGAGAGAGAGAAAGAATTATACGTCGATCTCATCTGTTTTTGATTGTATGCCATTTTTCAGTCTCGTCCTATCGATTCTTCTGCCATTTCCATCTTCTTGTTTCTCCTCTTTGTTTTCAGTTCCCCGTAGGACGCGCGCATGTGTGTGCGATCAATTGTGTGAACATCAATAGAAAATAGAAATAGTAAAATCTTCAGTTGTTCGAGCTCGGCTTGAACGTCGTGTACTGCGGCGGCTTCTCGATCTTGCAGTGAGGCTTCAGGGTTGCTAAACGATCTGGTTTGAGAAACAGCTGCTCCCCCTGCACAATGTTCATCTTAAGGATCTTAAGCCACTAAGGAGCAAGAGGCGGTGAAGTAATGCAAACAAGTTGCGCGAACGCAACATTACTGGGAAAAGTAAACTTAGGCAAATATTGCTTCGTTCAGGCATAAAAAATAGGCTAGGATAATAGATGCTTTACAGAAGTTCGCTAACAAGAGTAGTTTGATAACAAAATTTTTTTCTTCTTTTTCTAATTTCATTTATTTAATTGCAGGACCTGGATTGAAGAAGAAATAGCGACGAAGACAATATTGTGCAAACCCTTTGGAATCTTTCGTTCATAATTGTGATGTTGGAAAACGGAACGGAGAAAAATTGAGTAAACGAAATATTGCGTTGACGCAACGTTGTCTCTCAATGAATTTGGTCTCGTGTGATTGGAAGCGCCAGGGTAATAAAACTCTACGGATTTATTATATATATATATGTACATATGCTACGGGTGATTACATGACAATCGGGACTAATAAATTATAGAATATATATATATATATAATATATATATATGTAAAATATATATATATATATATATATGTCTAGGTGCGGTTTGTGCAAATATTTTCATACGTGAGAAAGAAACAGGGCCGTTTTATCCCTCGGATTATGATCGGCTCATTGTCCTCCACGTTATTGTTAGATATCTATTGATGCCATTCATTACGGTGCGCCAATATTGACGCGGTAATTTTGCGAAAATGATGCGTTTTATTACGCAAATACGGCCGATGACGAGCAAAATTTCGCAACGATTGAACGGAGCAATTACTAATCGGAAATTGTCCACGAATAAAGCAGGCGGAACTTTTGGCAGTTGCATTGTTTCAATGGAATTTTTCTCGATACGATCGACGTGATTTTCAACATATCTAATAAGTTCCGAATATTAGCAGTTACGGGGCAAATATTCGCGCGCGTTAATATTATCGACGTCGATGCAAATAGCGTTCCGGCAAACGTTACGAATAAATATTTAAACTAGTTTGGTAATCAAAATTTCATAAAACATTGCAACGCTCGTCCTGATCTAAATATTTATTCTTTCAGGTTGGCTCGAACGAAAAATTGTGGTTTCACGTTTTATAAAACGGTCCTGGCTTCATATGGAATCTTATATCAAACGGGATATACTGGGGAAGTGAAGCAAACAGTGCTCGATGTTATGCAAACGTGTCACATACTATACGTCGCGGTTCCAAAGGAGGCGGATTGATATTGATAATTCGTATAGGTAGGTATCTGCGCGGCATGCTCGCGATCGTTTCCGCGAGGATGAAAGGAATATTACGGAGGTCTGATAAAAACGGACAAGCACACGCATCTGTATGATTATTTTTTAATGACAACATAATACACGAAAGAGAGTACTCGAAACTCGTTCGAGCTGCTTCTACACAGAGCGTCGTACAACGTTATTTCACGTAGATTGCTTAGTTACAGGCATGAACGAAGTTCACCGACGACGACGACGACGATGACCGACGACAGTCTCGACACGCGAGCAGCCAGGCTAATTAATGTTTACAATGATTCTGTGCCAACGGTGACAATGATGTGTTGTGATCGGATGAAGCGCGAATATGATGAGAAGGGAGAAAAAGAGAGAGAGAGAGGGGGGGGGGAGGTCAACGAACGTAAGTGAAAAATATGTACATAGAATTTTCAGCATGCACGCGAAATTTTCACGAGGCCGTAACATGCTCGACAATAATCGTCGTCGGACGCAAACCAAGGCGAGATCCTCTGGAACGATTCAATTAAATCGCTTACGATTCGGCAACGGTAACATGCTCGTTGCCCCTTTTCAGGAATCGGTTTAAGTAAATGGTCATAATATGGTTTCCTTGTCTATTGATTTCTGGTGAACCAGATAAGCATGTGTACAAGACGAAACTTAACGTTTATCGAGCCGCGTAATTGTCTTGAATAATCGTTAACTTCGATTAATAATAATTAGCATTATTGTAACCTATTTGTATCGTTGGAAAGGTGATTCTCGGTAATCACCGATACGCTTATTCGACGCTGGATTATTTAAATGAATAGATCGGTAATCGGACATACGATTATCCGTGGCTTTTAATTACACCAGCGGACGCGCGCTGTCCGATTATTATAACAACAATAGATCGGTCGATAATGAGATTTATCGTAAGTAATTATTTTCACAACCGTATATGTATATATATATATATGTATATTATATATAAATTTTAGAAGTCTCTTCGATATCTCGATATACATGGCGATCAGGCAGTGATTCAGCCGACGGCGTATTTGTGAAACGAGTATATGTATATGTATACTGTTTTTTTTCTTTTTTTTTTTT